GCGGAAATGCATGCCACGCAGCCTTCTGTGGATTAACTCAAATAGGCCTTTCAGGAATTAGGCTATGAGCAGCCTCTCTTTATTCTTGAGAAAAACGTTCGAGACACGCAAATGACCACGCGCATGACTGCCACCCTCGTTTCCTGCGTCTCTCGACGCGCGCGTGCACTCTCCTCACTAAATCTGAAGAAAAAGAGAGACCGCTCGCAGTCTATTCAGGAATGGGACCTGGAGGGTGTTTATTCCTTGGAAAGACTACCATGTAGTGTATTTGAGCAGCGACGGGGAAGGTGGGTGAGGGCTTACTTAAGAACACTGTTTTGAAATCAAGATAAGCCTATCACCATACATGTCACACGGTGTAATTTTTATATGGTTTATAGTTCCGAAAAGGTCGTTTGGGTCTCTATTTTGAGTCATTTCAGCTTTGTTTACCACAAACTACTGAGGTGGAAGAAGGATTATTGACATTGGAGTGGGTAGTTGCTATTTTCATTATTGGTAGTTGGAAGACTGAGGAATTCAAATGGGGTGCTCAAGTGCTTACTTGAGAATTCATTGATAGGCAAATGTCATCTATTTCATACCCTGCTCCCAGAGGCTTTCCTTGAAATTTTTCCTCACGAAAGAGAGAGTGAGCAACGTAGCGGCGAGGAGAGAGAGAAAAATCAAGGTAACTATTTCACTTTACATTGACCAAAATTAACCCGACAAAACTTACTTTTCGATCTCATCTCTCATTAGATCCCATCTTCCCAGTCCAGTGGGGTAAATTGGCCAGACAGCAGGACCTCCTTCCCAGAATGTCCAAGCAGGGTACATAATGTCATACTCATTGGCTGTCTAAAGACAAGAAAAAAAACGTCCAAAATTCTATCAAGTCAACAGTGTATGACAGCCATACAATGGTGGACAAAAGTCATGCATGTTTGTCAGCCTGCGAGCAGGATCTCTTTTGTTGGGTATTGGGCACTGCCAGTGCGAGCCAAAACAGCTGGCTAGAAGAATACTACTGACTCGATACCCCAAACATGTGTGCTTGCTACTAAGGTAAATATTAGGATGCATATATTTAAAGTAGTGCTATCTTGTACAAATGCCTTGCATTTCTTCACCTCCCGTGCTGAGCAATGTTAGGAAAAATGATCAATTAACAAAAATATCAAGGATACATGGGTTCAATGTTTTATGTATGGTGGGGGCAGGGGATAGACGTGAAGATTAAAAAAAGTTCCACAAATGCAAATTTGGCCCAAGACTTTTCTGCATTATTGTAGCAAAGGGCTACATTGTAGTCACTGGGGGGTACTCCCGCGAATTTTGGATAGGGGTGTGCCGCGAAGGTTTGTGAACCCTAACCCTATTTAAGGACTAAGAAAGCGAAAAGTGATACCCTTTTTAACGCTGAAAGGCGAAAAATGACACCCTATTCAAGGAAAAAACAACATTATTAATAGCATGAACAGGAAAACTTTATTTCCTCTCTGAAATAAGCCTAGAATGAGCCTAGTTTTAAAAAAAAATGTTCCTTTAGGCGGGCGTTTTCACACTCCAGTATTAGATAATACAATTAAGCTACCCTATCTAAGGACCACACCAGGGACACAGAAACAAAAGGGTCAAAAAAGATACCCTATTTAAGGACCGAGAACCTCAAAAACCATACCCTATTTCGCGGCACGTACCTATATACCCATATATGGGAGTACCCCCCCGGGATTGTAGTCAGACAAAAAAATAGTGTTAACTCTCTGAAAACTGGAGTAAGAAAACAGCCCTTCAATTCTTCTTTTTGCACCATTCCCTGAGCAGGCATAGTTTTAGTCTCATATCTTTGATTTATCCACATTGCAAGGCACAGACCAACCCATTCCCACAACCTATGACTTATAGATGGAGTGTGACAAGTGTGTGGAGGATTGATAGGATAAGGGTGTGGTCACTGCCAGTGATTGTTATATCACTAGCAGGTTCTGAACTGGGAGACTGTTGTAATGTTCTCAAAATGATCGTCTCAATAGCCTGAGGACATTTTGAGATGATTATACAACAACCAGCTTTAACAGTAAAAGGTTTACAATCCCTATAAATGTTAATTTAAAAATTGTAAAACGGACGCTGTTATTATAAGAATCTTTACCGACGTTTTGGCAATACTGCCTTCTTCAGGGTGTAAAAGACTAAATACCGTTAAAAAGTTCGTTAAAATTAGCTCACGTGCCTGATGGCATACTCGTGCACGTGCCACATGAAATAGCGCACTACAGTGCGCGAGTAAGCAAAATAAAAAAAAATAAAAAAATTTAAAAAAGGGGGGGGAGGGTGATTCACGTGAAACTAAAGTCTTTACAATCCCTACCTTACTGAAAGAGAACACAGGCAATGGTTTTGACCACTTTGAGTTCTACCAGAGAAAAGAACCAACATCTCAGTCAGCAGACTTCCCTAGATCCATTTCAGTTGAGCATAATTATGTATCCAAGCTTCATGTTTTTATGTGGTTAGTAGTACTAACTATGTCTGAAGTAACCCATACACTTCCTGAGTGAATGATGGAGACTAACTCGTACTTAGTGGACAGGTTGAAACTGTAAGTCTGTGATCAAAATCCTATGGTACAAACTTTACTATTGTCAGTGATTAACCTACAGGGCTCGAAAAGAGCCCTATCTGGTCATCCAGGATGAGTAGTTTTTGTTCTTTTCAAGCCCTAGGATTTCATGGTAACAACAGTTTCAGGTACGATGTCGTTTCCTTGACCTTAAAATAACAGAAACGAAAAATAGTTTCCCAGTGACATATCCTGGAACTGATGATGAGGCCCAAATCTATTTATGAAAGGAGAACATCTGTGGCAAACATTTCAAGTGAGACTTCTTCAGTTGGATTAAAGAGGAGTCTGGAGCTTTAGATGCTAATGCACACACACTTTACACTTAAATTGACTTTCTTCTATCATTTTAGTAGACATTGAAGTTTTTTGTAAATAATAGTATGTACCCTGATCAATGTTCTTTAATTTTAAAGTATCAGTATGTTTAACAACACGTTTCTGTACATTAGAAAAAAATAAAAATGGGTTCCCATGAATTCTCACAGAAACAAAAAAATGTTACAGATGGTTTCCCATGATCTCTGGGCACAGAAGCGAAAGATTGTCATAATCCTAGGGCTTGATATTTTGTCAAACCAAGGATTGCCTGGGGATGATAAGCATGTACCTGTGGATAGTCCCTAACATTGATCTTCATCTCCATATCTGGAAGTTTATCAATCATCTTCAAAATAAAGTGTTCCACGCCTTTACATCTGAAAATAACAATATAATCACAGCTTATACATTAGAGGTGACAAACACAAAACAAGGTGAAGGCAGTCCACCATTGCAACTGTCAGCTTAACTTGGTTTTAGTCACATGAAGTACTTATCGTAGTATTTCCTTCTACCACCTGTATGGGATGCTAGTCTTGTGCGGAGCCAGGGGAGGGGTTACTGTCTATGAAGGAACCACCTTAAAGAGGTAGCTTTTTCAAGCCTTATATGAAAAGGTAGGGATTTCACTTGTTGAACTATAATTATGATTAAAAGGTAGGAGAATCTGGTCATTTCAGCTGGTAAAAAGGCCCAAAAGGGCTGACAGAAAATGATCTGGTTTTGTGATTTTTTCACATCTAAAAGACATTGCATTTACAGCAACTAGGTTAGAGAAAGGTGTACCATTTAAATTTGTCAATAGAAGATATACAAAAGGGGTACCTTTTCTGTTAAAAAATTAATGGTATATAAAAGGGTATGGGATTGGACCTTCGGGTAGAGCCTCTCTGTTTGAGACCTTGAACACTGAGTACTGCCCCCAGGGTGCTGGGCCACCTTGCAACAGTATATCAGATGGTTTGAACACCTGGGTTAGCAGAGACAGAGTGGGGTAGCATTTCTTGTCTACAGGAAACAAGAGGGCAAAAATGATTTCAAACTGGACCAGAGATCTAAAGTTAGGGCTTCAAACCACTTGGTCACTGGGCCTCTGCAAGTCTTAGATTTTACCATTGGCCAACTGTAACATTGTATTTCAGCATGAAAAAAAAATTAAGAAAACAGTAGAAAATAAAGTGTTGTGAACAGATGTCAATCTCATTATAAAAAAGCACTTTATTTGAGTGTCAAGGTATTTAGCACGAAAGTACTGATGGAATTAAGTCTCTAACTGGTCATCCTTGCCATGTGAAGGTCTAGCCGCATGCAGTGCAAAGGGAGTACCTTCGATTCTCAGGTATTTTAAGACCCTGAGTGTTGGTCTAGCCCCAGGAATCGACCTCTTGCTCTGCAGTCATGCAATCTACCAACTGAGCTAATCCTGCCACAGTCCCAGAAAACAGAATACCATGTACATACTTTTTACGTGCATGTACATTTGCCAATTTACAGGGAGACTGAATTCACTTATATTCACCTATAAGCATGTACCTAAATATTTATCCTTTGATGACTTTAAACTGACCTGAATGGAAACATGCAGTCCTTTTCTCTGTATAATTTATGATTAATAATTTGATAATGGACTCCACGGCCTGCAGCTTCATCAAAATCACTCTTCGTTATTCCTCCCTTGTCCTTCCAAACTCTCAAATCATCATCAATGACATCACTATAGCAGGCACATTTCTTGTTTGTGCAGTCTGTATATTGAGATGTGGCTTTCTTTATTTCGGAAAGGTAGGTTTTCCAAGATTCTAAGGACAAAAAATACAAGCATTTGACAAAGTTATCACTACTATTGGCAGGCTTGTAACCAGTAAAGGCAAGTCTGCTGCCTGTGTAAAAAAATTTAATCAAAGTTTCTTGGACCGTGTGTAATTGCCTAGTTATTGGTTGAGCAAGCTGTAGCTAGAATGAACTCAACACAAGAATTCAGTCACTGGGAGTGTTACCCGAGATTGCCCGGTTTGACTGTAATACAATTATTTTATTATTAAATTTGACTTTCATTTGATATGAAGAATTATGCAGATCTCAAAAGCTGTTTTCCACCTCAGCCTTGAGCCTTGGTGGATAATAGCCACCTCGATCTGCACAATTTTTCACATGGCCTCATGCAATGATTGTTAATTAACAGACCATCCAACTCCTAAACCATGCAGATCTGGAGTGTTTGAAAAAAGCCCCCAAAAACCTCGAGATTTCGGATCTCAAACCTGGAGATTTTGAAAATATGTATTGAATAAAACTAAAACGGCAGATTATTCAAATTGTCATGGTATTCTTTACCCTATTAGTGGTCTCTGTTTTACTGCCCTGTTGCTCTTTTGGCAGTAATGAGAAAATTCTGTTTTGCTATCCAGGTCTATAGGACAGCAAGTAGCCAAGTGAGTATGCTATAAGGGTTTTCCCACAGACCTTAGCAAACCTACATTTTACAGGGATGAGGTTGGAATTGGATACAGGTTTCCCTCCAAAATTAAATTGATACAATATTTGTCTATTATGATGACAGTTTTTTTGATATATTTACGCCGTTCCTACCGGAATTGTCTGGCAATTTTCTTTTTCACCATGAGATTTGGAGGCTAATTTGTGAGATCATGAGTTGACTGCCCAAACCGCGAGTCTCAAGGTCAAATCGTGAAGATTGGAAGGTCTGACTTAATTATGATGAAAATTATAACAATAAGCTTAATTACTAGTAATAACCAAAGGTTAGGAAATCAGAGGTCCAAAGGCTTTTGCTCCAACGCTGTGCTTTGCGCAAGTTTCACGTGACAGATGGTCAAAACACGCATGATCAGATTTACGAGGGTAGAAGGTCAAAACGCACGTGATCAGATTGCGTTGTGTGCATTCCATTCATTCTTAGTGGAAGCCCAAATGAATGCTGGCTACATACATGCGATGCATGCGTAATAACAACCTGGAGATTAGGTTTGCGGGCTCCTCTTGTCGCCCGCAAAAATTATACTGGATCAGGCCCAGGGCTGTAGGGTGGTGTGATTGCAGTGGTAGATCTAGGGGAGGGGCCCAGGGGGCCCGCCCCTCCCCTTATAATTTTTTGGAGACCGGGGGCCCGTTTCTCGAAAGTCCCGGTAACTTAACGGGCCCGGAATCATATTTTTAAATCAAAGTCTCAAGAAAAGTAGGGTGTTTTCTGACCTCTAATGAAGTCCATTTTGTTTCGTTAGCTAATAACTCTAATGTATCATTTTCAAAACTTTTAAAACTCCCTTCTATAATGGAAAACAAAACAGCTTAACGGGCCCGGTAATTACCGGGAGCTTCGAGAAACGGGCCCCGGGCCCCCTCCTTATCTCAGGATCTGGATTACCGGCGCCCCCACTTTTCTGACGGTCTAGATCCGCCACTGGATCGATACCATATATGCTTGTCTTTTTTTAAATGATCATCATTAAAAAGCACACACGTTGTCTGTAAAAAAGTAACAGACTTAATTTCTCAGAAAAAAGCACGTATGATACGTTAATGTATGCAGGCTTAATAATCAGGTGTTTTCAAGTTTGTTCAAACCTTTGATTTCATCAAAGTTTAATAAGCAATCTTTACCTTTTGCTCTGTACTTTTCTTTCTCGTGATTTCCATGTTCCTTTTCACAGCTGCCGTCTTTCAAGCAATCGCCTGGCACATCAGACCCGAAAACAAACTTGAGAATTTTTGGGGAAGAAAGAAAAATAAAACAGAGAAGAGTTAAGTGAGTCATGGTGGGAATGAAGACGTAAAGCGAAATGTTACATGACGTACTATTCGGGCATTTGTTGTAGCCGCTGGTTTAGTCGAACATTTCCGAAGATTTTCCGACTTACATCGTCCAACTTATCGTCCAATGAAAATGTTGCAAATAATGTCGATATTTGGTCGATGTTACGTAGCACGAAATGAATACCGTAAACATCGGAGCGGTTTGTCTAAAAAGTTTCATTTTCATCTGGTGTGAATCTTGTGTTGATTCCGGGCAAGAAAGCCGGCTATTGTGTTTGCTGTGCAGGTATTGAGACTTTTCTATAACTTGTGTTGTAAACAGACTTATTCTTAGTTGCTTTTTTTAGAATAGATGACAATGGAAAAAATGAAATTGAATCAAAACAGCGCGTGTTTTCTATTTCTATCGCCCTCGTGATTTTCACTTGAGTTTAGTAATATTTAGTTTGCGGTATAGTTAATAAGAAATCATATCGTCAGTGAATCTTTCACTTGCACTCATACTTTAGTTAACAGAAAAAAATTTTTCATTGTGAAATTATTTTGTAGGCAAACAAAATGGTTGAATCAAGAAGAACACAGCTTAGAAAAAGATTTTGTGGAAAAACCGGCAGTGTCTTGTCCATGCTATTCATGACCAGCTCGTTTTTCTTGGTAGAAATTATTGTTGGTTATGCGACGAATTCGATGGCTCTTGTGGCTGATTCGTTTCATATGTTATCCGACATCATGTCACTTATAATTGGCTTTTTCGCTTTGAGATACTCCAAACGTAGTCAGAGAACGGAACGAAA